ACTCAGATGACTACTGCCTACTGACATTCCCTACGTTTAATTTTTTAGTGGTTCTTGACAAAAAGAAAAAGTCAGATCATGGCTGGGGTTAGAAAGAACTAACAATTAGGGCTTAAGGTCATTAGCCCCACTGGGCTTTAAGGTACTCTTCAAACAGTAGCTTTAACAAGTATTTTGAATTTGATTTTTTAAATATATATAAGGTATTGGTACGAGTATCCAATGTTATACAACTATTCAGTTTGCAGAAGAGTGAAGCATAGTCAATTGAACAGATATTAGTTCTTAATGCTTGATTTTTATTTTTTAATTGGAAGAAAAAGATACTAAATACTATACCTTAAAAATGATCAGTTTGAGGGCCAGTGCAGTAATGTAGCAAATAAAGCCGCTGTTTGTGGTACCAACATCCTTCTGAGTGCTCTGGCTGCTCTGCTTCTGATCCAGCTCGCTGCTAATGTGTCTGGGAAGACAGCAGAAGATGGCCCAAGTGCTTAGGCTCCTGTACTCATGTAGGGAACCCAGAAGAAGCTACTGGCTTCTGGCTTCAGATAGGGCCAGCTCCAGCACAGAGGCCATTTGAGGGGTGAACCAACAAATTGAAGATCTGTCTTTCCCTAAAAAAAAGTAAATAAAATGATCAGTTTTGGTGTAACAAAGTTAAATAGTTTAATACATGAGCCCTGAATCTTTCCTTTTATTCTCCTATCTTAGAGAAAAAAAAATTTCAAATCAATTTAAATAGTATTTTCCTTTTACAGATATTAATAGATCTCATGTTTGACACATAACTAAACATGTTTAATGGGGACAAAATCCTATAATACCTCATTTTCAGTATCTGTTATATTCCCAGGGAACTTTGGAGTTAAGAGATCAACCTATGACTATGAGCAAGATAATGAAATTCCAGTTTGTCTCCCTATAAATAAGATTTGTTCTTATAAAATTTAACTGGAACATGAAATTAAATGAAGTAGATAAAACATATCACTAATAATCTTCCCATGTTTAGCTCCTGAATTAAGTTCTATCAATATTAAAGTATGAAAGAATTCATGTTTACCCTCTGCATAAAGCCAAGATAAAATGAACAATTAAGAAAACTCCATTGTTTTTGATGAACAAATTAAGTCCTATACCAGCTGAACAGAATCCCTTCATCTCTTCTGAAATCCTTATCAATGCATGAAATACTGTATGCTCACTAGAGTCGTCCTTTAGTTCCCATTTTTATCGTTGATTTTCACATTAAAACATTTTATTTCTGTAGATAATCTAATCAGCTTTTAAAGTTAGGATTCTCCTATGTGTGAATGTATGTATATTTACATCAATCTCTTTTGGTATCATGGTTTCTTCATATAGTGCTGCGCAGAATTCAGGGTGCAGGTAGCAACAAATGGTTTTGAAGAATTGAATATTTTTGTTACAACTTTCACCAACTTTCACAATCTTTTTTTTCACATATAGCTAAAGGCTGAAAATAATGTGCTTTTAATATTCCTCTGAGTGATTAAAATTCAGTGATTCACAGAATGTAGTTTTATAGGTGTTACCATGTTGAATCTTCACATTTCCTCAACAGGAATAAAAATACAACAACATCCAGGAATGCCCAATTAGTACACTTCATGTTAATATGTACTTAGAGTTTCATATTTAAGATACCAGATAATATACAAAATGGATTGCACTACATTTATAGTGAAACAATTTTCTTGTTACTTTACATCAAATACTAACTAACCCAAAAAATCTTCAGTGAGGAAAAATGTGACATTGAGGATATCAAGAAGATCGGAGCAATAGGCTAAGAAGGATAAACAGACTATAATATCATTGCTAAAAAGTATTGCCAAATACTCTCTACTTTCATTTAGTATATCTCTGGTCAATTTCACAGCCTCCATCAGTACTGAACAGAGAAATTGGAAAGCTACAGAATCGATTTGCAGAAGTGAAATTTATTTGCTTTCACACCTTCTTCATTAGAGTGCTATCATTTTTGTATTGTGTGGGGTTATTGGCAGCAGCTTTGAGCACAGCTGATAACTGCTCAAATTCATTTGCTTCAAGTGGAAGTAGAAAACTTTCATTTTCCAAGTTTACTGAGTTGATAATCCTCAGCTTTACCAGAGTTTAAATGCAAAGTAACCATAATTACAAAATGACAGAATTTAAATGTGAATGATAATTATTATAGTAATATTCTTTGCTTTTGGCTACTAGATAATAAATATTAAAAGAATAAAGCTTTCTCCCCCCTATTTTTATCCTTAGATTTTTACATTAAACTGAATACATGAATAAACTGCTTCAAAGCATGAGATAGCACTTAGAACATTGAGAAGAAAGTGGACTTATTTGTTGCTGCTTTTCCAGGTTGATAGTAGATTGAGTTTGAGCTTATTAAATTTGAAACTAGAACGATTTGAAAACAATGCTGTAGCCTGTGGCAATTTGGTATCAGCTCTGAAACAGAACTTCCTTTGTAATATTAAAAAATATTTTTGAAGGGATATTTATGGGACTATTGGCTCAATTTGAAAGTCTCCCACTTGAAAATACATTAAATGATGGTATGTTTACTGTATCATACCATCATCCCAGTAGAATTGAGTCAGCCTACTTAGGCAAATAAATAACATTCTTATCCTTATTAATCTTCACTTTTTTCTATTTCTGCTTACACTAGCTTTTTTCTTTGCATTGTGTTCCATCTCAGAACTCCTTGTGGATATAAAAATCAAAAGTATTTCCTCAATTAATCAAATAATATTGCCAGATTTGTCAGTTAATTATGTGAGAATTATAGAAAAAGAATATTGGCCAATTTTAAAAACTTCTGAATTTTAGTAGCCTCATATAATTGAGAGTTCTAAACGTATTAATTACATGAAAGGAAATGTTATTTATGATATTTGTTAAATTTTCTAATAAGAATGTACGTTTCTAACATTAGAATCTACACAGTGTTTATTGGCAATATCATAATACTTATACACACATATCTAACTTTGTCTTTATTCTCTCCTGGCAACATTTTTCTCTTCTGTTTTTATTATTTTGGTTTTCTTAAGTTTGAATGATATTTAAATGTATGAGAACTGAAATAATAATGCAATACATTTCCATATATACTTCACCTAGATTCATCCTATGTTGTTCTTTTACCTCCTGTTGCTATTTTTCCTTTTTCTCTCCAATAACGGTAAATACAAATGTAGTACTAAGCATTATTGTTGTGGCAGAAAACTAGCCACTTCTCTTATGGCATACTGTTGGCTACAAAAGCCTGACAGAACTCCTGCATTAAACAAGTCTGCAAAAGCTGTCAGATAAAGTACAGTACTCAATTGAATTTGAATTTCATATAACCAGTAATTGGCATCTTAGTTTAAGTGTGTCTCAGGAATTCATGCTCTGTATTAATTTGCTAAATCTGACAATCCTAAGATTGATGCCATTTTTTAAAAGTACCATCAAAGGTGTTGTGAACAAAAACACCAGTATTTTAATCAACTGAGGTAATGGAAATGGAAATTTAAGGTTATGAATGACAAAATGTAAATCAATTTCATCCATGCAGAACCCGTGCAGACATGGTTTCCACAAAGAGGAATTATTAGTTCATGTAAATGTCCCTAAGCCTCATTCTCAAGGAAACGTTGTTTTTCGTTAATTTGCATGAGCCTTTTATCAGCATACTCAGGAAACACTGGATTGTTTTTACATTATTTTCTGTATCTCCACCACAACTTAAGTTTCAAGATTATTTATCAAGAAGTTCAGCTGTTGGATCTTCACATTGTTACAAAGTTAGGCACCAGCATTAACTCTATATTCCTTGATAATACTTCCTTACTTTTCAAAGGTTCAGCATTGCCAAAATTTGGCCATTGTTTTTTAACCAAACTTGAAGCATCTTTAACGTGCCAAGTAGCCTGTTGGATGCCAGAAATGCACAGCATTAGTCAATATAATTTCTGCTTTTCCTACAAAAAAGATAACAATGCATGGAACAAATAGAAAACATCATGATTCACTTGTTGCAGATACAGGATTTAAGTGGGAATGTTGGAAGGGTCTTATCTAAATTCCTACAGGGAGGAAATGAAAAGCCTGGGAATGGGTAATCGCCCTCCGTCCGACTCTCTCCAATATTTCTTCCAAGGAAATTCCAGGCGACTTAGTATCCTAAACTCCCTATTTCCCCAAGAGCAGAACGAAAACATCCTGTAATCCCTCTATAGGGTTCTAGAAGGTCTTTAAAGTGAAACAGGCATTGTCGGAGTGTGCTAGAGAAGGCAGCCGTTGTAATGAAACCAAGTGAATCTGTGGAAAACGCAGCACCAGGCCAAGGCGATGCTATTCCAGTTGGGTGTCACAGGTGACTCATTCCAGACGGCTAAGCCTTGGGGCCTCTTCATATTTTTCTTCAGGGTGGGGTGTCAGATTTCCTTTGCATTTTTGGACAACTGCCCTCCTGACTTCCCCTCCCCTCCCCCCAGTCCCCTCTCCCCCCTCCCTTCACTTCACAGCCCTCACGTACAGCTTGCTTTCACTGCGGAAGCCAGCCCTTGACAGGAAGTTTAGGGAATGAGGGTACAGGCTTTAGGGGGTGGGGGAGAGGAAGGGCCGGAGAGAGGCCTCAACAGGGAAATTCGCACTTCCGAATCTCACCCTACCCTCAGCCCCTCAGAATGACAGCTCTCTTCAGTCAGAAGACTACCACTCCCGGCAGACATTGCGCTCCCCATGGACACAGGCTGGCGGGCTCCCAGCTCGCCACCTCCGCCCGAAACACCCAATAAGGATCCCCGGCTTCGTCCTCCGCCCGACCGGGACCACGCGGGAGCGAAGGCGATAAGACTACATTTCCCGTCGTGCAAGTGCCCGCATCTTGACCAATCATCGTCAGGGATTAGAAGATCAGGGGCGGAGCCTGATGCAAAGGCCACCCCATTGGTTAGGGGAAGCTTAGAAGGGCCGGAACCCGGGAGCTCGAGGAGCGAAATGACATTTCCTCTTTAAATAGCTAGAGCGAGGGTCCCTTCGAGAAATGGCCGCGTCGGCAGGTGGGTCGCATGTGGCTAGGGCGGTGTGAAGAGGGTTGAGGGGCAGGCGAGCTGAAGCGAGACAGAAACTGCGAGTTGAGGCGGTCCCGACGAGGAGCCGGAGAGAAGGATGGAGAGGTGGAGGGAACCCCGGGGAGGGGAGGATGAATGGCGTGGAGGGCAGTGGGCGGTCCGAGCCAACGGGGATGGGCAGGCTGGGTACCCGCCCGTTGCCGCGACCTGTTGGCGAGGCGGCTGAGGGGGGCAGCGGCGGCGGACGCCATCCTCCTCCGACGTGCCCTCGCGAGGCTGCCGCCCGCCGGCTGTCGGCGGGGTGTCCGCGGGCGCCTCGCGGGCGCTGCCGACGCGGTCAGTCCGCGAGCGCGGGGCAGCGGGTTCGCCGGGGCTCCGGCGGGAGCGGGCGGGCCTCGGGACGCAGCTCGCTGGCTGCTCTCCGGCTCCCACCGTCCCTCACACTCGCGGTCTCCCGACGCCGAGTGTGTGTCCATCTGCGTTATTCTGTGTAGCGGGAGGGGGTGGGGTGGGGTCGGAGGGAGGGGGAAGAAGCCAAGGCAGCGCGCAGCGAACCCCGCGACGCCCGTGGTTGCCTCCAACTTCCTTTGGTTGTATAATTTCTCTCCTCCTAGATTTAAGTAAGTGTTCCCCAACACCGAATGGGATTCCATCTTCAGACACTGCCAGCGATGCCATGGACCCCTTCCATGCGTGCAGTATTCTTAAGCAACTCAAAACAATGTACGATCAAGGACAGTTGACAGACATTATAGTGGAAGTGGATCACGGGAAAACCTTTTCCTGTCATAGAAACGTTCTTGCTGCAATCAGCCCTTACTTCAGGTATGATGACGGTAGAAACGTGGACGAGTTCTGCCCCAGGTCCCCCGCCCTCCTCGGTGTAATCCCCTTGATTGTTAACATTGAGCTGGGGCATTAAAAAGCAACCGGTGAGCTCTTTTCCTGAAAACAGCTGTAATCATCCTTTGTTTTCGACCCGAAAGGATTCTTGTAAAGTTCATCAAGTGGGTTTGTTAACTTACTGAACCGTGTTCCTGTAGAGCAAAGAACCAGAAAACTGCACAAGTACTGTGCAATGTGGCAGTCACTAACCACACGTGGCTGGCTACTTACACTTCAGTTATTTTAAATTAAATGAAAACGCTTCTTAAGTACAATATACAGATTTCAAGTACTGGATGGCCGCATGTAGTTAGTAAATACCATATTGGGCAGACTAATAAACAACAGTTCCACTCAAAGTATTAATGAACCGTTTTACTGAAAGTTTTACTGGACAGCACTGATGTAGAAATTTGTTCCAAAAAGTTACTCATGATGTGTAAACATTGGTAGCCTGTTTCCTTTAAAACTAACTACTGTTCAACCGATTGTTTTAAAATTGTGAGACTCAATAGGGAGAATAACAGTGAATAAAATAGTTTCCTTAAGTCCCAAGCCAGTGATTGTTTCAAAGATCTCCAGATGTGTTTTATACAGTTTGCAATCATATTCATCTTTGTTCATCATAAATTTGGAAAGTAAAACTTAAAATGTTTAGGTTTGAACAAGAACTTTGTACTTTAAGGTCAGTGAAAAAAGGCAGTTTCTTTCCTACTAGAGTTTATTTTGTTTCCAATGATCACTTTTTTTTAGGTCTTTCGTTTTCAAACTGCATCAATAGTGAAATCATTTTCTCAGCTGTCCTAAAGGCACTGTTTTCCTTTTGAAAATACTTTATCGTTTTAGAGGGCACACAGTGTGATGTTCCAGACTGTAGTTTTGGTTCCTCTTTCTCAGAACACTGGCTTAAATATAGTTACTTCGACTGATATTTGCGATAGAATCATTTAGACTTGCCTAGGGTAGGTCAGCGGGCTGCGAAGTATTAATCATGACAAGACAGTGAACTAGAGGTGGGGCTGGGGGTAGAACGTACATATTTACAAGCTGGTAATGGAAACTACTGGTAAGATTTAGCTACCCTGGCTGTGTGTTAAATATGGTGGGGTCATTTATGTTTTAAATAAGTGTACTTCAAAAGGTTTATGGAAAAATGAAATTAAAAGATAAGTTTATTTTAGTACAGAATGATTTAGAAATCTACTTGTCTGCTGTTGTGTGTTTTCTGTGATTTTTTTTTTTGAACACCACATTGGATATTGGTCACAGTTTATTTACTGAGCTTTAGGCTTCCTTTGCTTTAGTGTTGTTTCAGTAATCTTTACCATCCTGCCTCTGTACAGTTACTCCCACTTTACGGATCAATAACCTGAAGCCCAGCGAGGTTAAGTGACCTGTCTGAATTGTTCTGACTAGTAAATGGCAGAGGCTGGATTTGATTCCAGAGCCAGGCTTGTTAGTCGCTATATAGTCACTCCAAGCCACTATAGTGCTATAGTGCTCTTTACAATCTCATTTCAAGCTATATTATTTTAGGATTGGATGCAAAAAAAAAAAAGTCAGAAAAAATAAGACTTCAAAGTGAAAGTGTTTATGTTACTAAATTTTATGTTGTCACTTAAATATGTTGAATTAAAATTGCTTTTGATGACAAAGCTTTAAAAGAAATATGCTACAGTAGGAAGGAAAAAAAAGGTTAGGAAACTTTACTTATAAGAAATATACTTTCACATGAAGATATTTGGCTAGAAATGATCATACACAATTTTTTTGTTAGTGTTTTTCCTTTTGTGGGATCTAGAAAGTTATACTTAATATTTTCTAAGTCTTGCATCACTGGTGAAAAGTTAGACTGGCTGGAAATCTGGTGTGACTATCTTGTTTTCTGTGATTATTAGAAATGCTTTCCCTCTTAGCATTTCCTGTGAGGAAGTGCTGTCTTGTGTCTTCAATTCACAAGCAGGACCTGTTGGAATTCAGAGCTCACCAAGTGTCAGTCCTGTTGTTGGACTTATTTAAGTCAGGAATTGCCAGCATAAAGGAATATGTGCTAATGTTCTCCTTGGGGAGTTAATGGCTGTGTAATGAAGGGCTTATTTTTCTTTTTAATTGGTAGCTGTTTAGGTGAGTCAAAAGACTCAACAACAGAATTGAAAAGCAGCTAGGAAGATCAGGTTTTCAGTCATCAAAGGAAGCCTGTGTGATTCTAAAATTTACAGTGTAGAAGCATTGTGTCTTTCACTACATTTAAGAAATAATTTTACTTAGGGATAGAAACTTGAAAAGTGACAAGAAATCTAACTATTTAAGGATATTTTTCATACCATCAGTTAAAGTGGGAGGGTCTGGACATGAATAATTCAGTTTTGTTACCAGTGTTGGTCAGTTTCTTACTTAAATAGTAAACTTTCTAGACTTTGAAAACAAAACTACAGTGCACACAGTCCGTTCTTCATGGCAGCTTTTGAAAACATTTGGTTTGACTTTTATGTTTAAGTGTAGCCTAAAATGAAGGAAGCAAAAGGTAAATCATAAAGAGCCAAATTTTTTGTGTAATGTTTGGTCAACAAAGTTCCATATCTGTACCATATTTTTACTAAAAAAAAACTTGCCCAAAATTGTTATCGCTAAATAATCAGTGATTTATATTTCTAAATAATCAGTAATAATCTTTACTAGGCATTTCATAGAATTTGTAGAAAAATGGAATTAGGAAACAAGCTTATTTTGGTGTAATATCTGAAATCCTTGTGTAGTTTCTAGAATTGCATTTTGAGCACAGATTACCTTGTAATTTCTACTGGAACATGAGAAAATTGTGTTATACTATATTTCTCTGTATGCTTAAGTATTATACTGCCACCCCACTTTTTTTTTTCATAGTTGGCATGAAGTAGGCTGAACCTCAGAATAGGGTTTTTGAAATGTGCAACACTAAATCGTTCTGCTAGATTATCAGATTTGTCTTTGCTCATAGTATCCAGGAATATCTTTAGTAAAGCTAGTCCTTGTGGTAACTTCATATTTTAAACATTTGTCATAATAATTATTTGTAACAAATACATAATACTATTGTTTTCTTCTTAGATCCATGTTCACTAGCGGCCTTACAGAAACTACTCAAAAAGAAGTTAGGATAGTTGGTGTGGAAGCTGAATCAATGGATTTAGTCCTGAACTATGCCTACACCTCCAGAATTATGCTGACAGAGGCGAATGTTCAAGCCTTGTTCACTGCAGCTAGCATCTTCCAGATTCCTTCCATCCAAGACCAGTGTGCTAAGTATATGATCAGTCACTTGGACCCTCAGAATTGTATTGGGGTCTTTATCTTTGCCGATCATTATGGACATCAGGAACTTGGAGATCGATCAAAAGAATACATTCGTAAGAAGTTTCTGTGTGTCACCAAAGAACAAGAGTTTCTTCACTTGACAAAGGACCAGCTGATAAGCATACTAGACAGTGATGACTTAAATGTAGACCGTGAAGAGCATGTTTATGAAAGCATTATAAGGTGGTTTGAACATGAACAAAAAGAGAGAGAGGTACAACTTCCAGAAATTTTTGCCAAATGCATTCGTTTTCCTCTGATGGAAAATACCTTTATAGAGAAAATCCCACCTCAGTTTGCACAGGCTATCGCCAAAAGTGGTGTAGAAAAGAGACCATCCACCACCAATGGCTGTGCACAGAGGCTCGGGATGACTGCTTCTGAGATGATCATATGTTTTGATGCTGCCCACAAACACTCAGGGAAGAAGCAAACAGTGCCTTGTCTAGATATACTCACAGGAAGAGTGTTTAAACTATGCAAACCACCAAATGACCTGAGAGAAGTTGGTATCCTTGTATCACCAGATAATGATATTTACATTGCAGGAGGATACAGGCCAAGTAGCAGTGAGGTTTCTATTGACCACAAGGCAGAAAATGATTTCTGGATGTATGACCATTCCACCAATAGATGGATATCCAAACCATCCTTACTGCGAGCCAGAATTGGTTGCAAGCTAGTGTACTGCTGTGGCAAAATGTATGCAATTGGCGGTCGTGTTTATGAAGGTGATGGAAGAAACTCACTAAAATCTGTGGAGTGCTATGACAGCAGAGAGAATTGTTGGACAACTGTATGTGCAATGCCAGTTGCAATGGAATTTCATAATGCTGTGGAATACAAAGATAAGATCTATGTTTTACAGGGTAAGTGCCTAAATGACTTACTTTTTTGGGGGCAGATAGCAACTCAGGTCCTGGTTTGTTACGCTGAATGGAACAGGTGTTAGTTGTTACTTGAAGAACACCTCTGCCTTTCTTATCATGAACCACTTGTTGAAACAATCCATTCCATATAGAATCTGTAAAGAAAACAAACTGGGATTGAAAAAGGCAGTAATTTTAGTAAATGGTCCTATAAGAATTTTATGTTCTTGTTTTGATGTGGCAGGATAGATATTTTTGAAAATACTCTTTTAGTAAGTATAGTTTGGCATTTGGGAAAAGCAATTTCAGAGCACTTTTTCAAAACCAAGCAGTAATGCACAGTTGGTACATGGCTATTTCTGCTCTTCAGAAATATATGTATAATTAAGAAGAGATGCAACAACTGCTTTTTTTAAAATAGAACTTACAAGGTTAAAAGAAGAACAGAACATTAACCCAAAGTTATACTATTAGTTTCCAAGGAGTTCAACTTCATCTTCACTGTAGTTGACATGGTTTATTGGTTTCTTTCACATAACCAGCCATAATGGAAAATCCTGATATCACCTTTTTCTTACCTTTACAATTATAAACAGGACTATCCATTATCCTATATCCTTAGCTTAAAAAAAAAAAAAACAACTGTAGGATCAGTACTCTGGGAAAGAAACAATGGAACTAAGTGACTGCCTGATGGCACATATGACAGTCATCCCAGATCCTCATCTGTGTAAACAATATTTTATAGAATTTAATTACTTAAATGTTGAATGCAGTGCAGATAATATGGACATCATTCCTCTTAATTTTATTAATGAGTTATATATATTTTTTCCCCCAAGTGCTACTTTAATAAAACAAGGTAAAAAAGAAAGCTTCTGTGAAGACAGACATGCTTTTAAAACTCCTACCCAAATTTTTGTCATTTTAAAAATTATATTCTTTGCTTTAATCCTTTGACTTAAAATTTCCTATGAATGCAGGAGTCCATATTTTTAACATTAGGCATGAAGAGCAGCCTTCTATTTTGGTTAGAGTGTGGAATGATTTGGGTGTCGGTCTGGCCCAAAAATGGGAAATATGAATCAACTTATAATCCATTCGGTATATTTAGATAGGATATATCCTTCAATATAATGAAACTGTATATGTCTTATTGGCTAACCAGTTAGTTGATAGAGGTGGATTTAATTTTAACACTCCAACATGGAAAGTAAAATCCAAGTGTTAATGCAGATAACAGAATACCAATGAATGATACAAATTCCTGAACTGGGATGACCACCAAGTCTGGGGTTATTATGCTTTATATAAGAAAATTCTGATTTCCTAAAGGATTTTTTAATTGATTATCATTAGTTTTAGTTTGTAAAAAGGCCTTTATATTTTAAAAGTCTGCTTTTTTGATGTGTCATCTTTACTTTCCAGAGAAATTTGTGGAGGGGTCAGCATTGTGGTGTCACAGATAAGGATGCCATCTGTGATGCCATCTATCATGGGCACCAACTTGTGTTCAGTGCTCCATTTCTTAAACCAGCTCCCTGCTAATGGCCTGAGAAAAACACCAGAAAATGGCCCATGTGTTTGGGCCCTGCTGCTCATGTGGTACACCTGGCTGAAGTGCCCAAGTTCAGCCTGGCCCAGCCCTGGCTGTCTGCAAGGCTCTGGTCTTATAGCCAACTGGGTAGTGCCCAACATGCAAGAGTCAGAGGGTGGTTTACTCCATTTGCTTGTTTACTCCCAAAATGCCCATGACAGCCAAGGCTGGAACGTCAAATCCAACAGCCAGCAGGGTTCATCATGGTCTCCCACATGGGTGGCAGGAACCCAAATACTTGGGCCATTTTCCAATGCCTCCCAGGCTAGAATTGGCACTCCTATATGGAATGCCAGCATCCCAAGTGGAAACCTAAACCCCTGCACTACAACACCCACCTCTAAAAGCAACACTATTTTTAAATACACATTTGAATTTGTCAATAGGAATAGCCCTAGTTTATAACTGTTTTCAAGGGGGCAGCTCAGTTTAGAATTAGGTATTTCTAATCTAAACAAAGCTTCTTTACATAAATAAGCCTGATAGTTGTAGTTGCAAGTTTTTGTTCTATTTGGCTATAGAAGGATAATAAAATTGCTCATGAAGTCTTCACAATTTTATTACAAAGGCTTCATACAAAAGTTATAACTAGCAAAAAGCTGTAATTCATTGCTTTCTTTTAGCTGTTTTTTTTTTCATATGAGGGGAAATGGAATCAAAAGATAAGCAACTATTTTTGCACAAAAATGTTTGAAATCCATACATTAAAGTCCTTGCAAAATGTGTTATAGAAAAGCTATGCATGCCTCCTGAAAACTTCCTTGCACCCAAACAACCTTTTAATTTCATTGTTCCATGAGCTTTTTGAAGTTTCTTTTTATGGAAATAAGACTCAGTGTACCATTTTATTGTCAGTGTAGCATAGAAACTGATTCAAAGTTCATTCCAGAAACCCGGTTTACTATTTTATCAAAGCCATGTTTTATCCTCTAGAACCTCTGTCTTTGCATTCTCATCATATCAACTAAATACAGCCATGATCCATTTGAATGAACAACTCCATGTGTTGTCTTCTAATAGCCACAGAAATTTATAGTGGATTCCTTGTGATGAACATTATACACTTTGTCCCTACTGGCTTACCACTTAGTAATAATGCTTGTTTTGGAGCCGGCTTAGCATAAAGTTGCTAATTGGTTAGAACAAATGGAATCAAGCTGGAGTACTCCTCCTCCCCGTTATGAACGTGTCAATTCAGGTTGACCATGATACTGTCTTTGTGTTTGTTTTAGAAGTGAACTGTTTGAAGAATTATGCTCTTTAGTCTTTGATTTTAAAATTATCAACATATTGCCAGAAAACAAATATCTTACATTTTTGCTTATCTTTTTTTTTTTTTTTTAGGAGAATTTTTCCTCTTCTATGAGCCTCAAAAAGACTACTGGGGTTTTTTAACTCCCATGACTGTGCCTAGAATCCAGGGCTTAGCAGCTGTATACAAGAACTCCATCTACTACATAGCTGGAACCTGTGGAAATCATCAGCGTGTGTTTACTGTAGAAGCCTATGATATTGAGCTAAATACATGGACTCGTAAGAAAGACTTCCCATGTGATCAGTCTATAAATCCATACCTTAAGCTGGTACTTTTCCAGAACAAACTCCACCTATTTGTTCGAGCTACTCAAGTGACCGTTGAAGAGCATGTCTTTAGAACCAGCAGAAAAAATTCACTTTATCAGTATGATGACATTGCTGACGAGTGGCTGAAGGTGTATGAGACCCCAGATCGGCTCTGGGACCTCGGCCGGCATTTCGAATGTGCTGTCGCTAAACTGTACCCTCAGTGTCTTCAGAAAGTACTTTAAAGAGTAGCAGGCCTTAGTGCTTCACTGGCATCTGGTACTTAGGAGCCTTGTCTTAAGAAGTGCTGTCAATGATTAAGAAAGCAATGGGTGCTCTTTAAGATTACAGTGTAGGTAGATTTACATTCATTCTTGTGAGGTTTTCATTTCAGTAAGGAAAGGTAACAAAGTGCAATTATCAGCTTTTTTTTTTTTCCTGGGCATGAAAAGTTAATTACATCATTTTTGACTTATGTGGCAAACAGTGATTTGAGAGACCATCCAATTTAAGACAACTATGCACACTTAGAAGAGCAGTTGGAATGTCATTGATTAGATACATCAAAACTAGTTTGACATGGATTCTTATTTTAAATACGGGTAACAATCTGAGGCAATATCACTAGGACTTGACTTTAGCTGTGATCTCTCTAACAGAGAAATACTAACTTAGATCCTCATTCTGAATATTTATACATGTATTTACATATATATATTTTTGTGTACTGTTTTCAAGTGCATTGCAATTTAAATGTGTTCAGTTATTCGAGTAGAAAACACATTAGTCTCAAAGTATTTAGTATGATTGTTTCATATTTCTCATGTAGCTTTAAGTTTGAGAGGCAGTTTTCTGTCGATCACTTTTTCAAGTGCTAACACTGTCTGATCTTTTAAAATCCCGAAAAGGGCTTGAATTCACAGGTGGCTGGTGCTAGTATAGCTAATCCATATGTATAGCTAGATAGATTTCCAATGGTCTGAGCCTATGATTATCTTTCAAATTGATACATTAGTTCCTTGGATATACTGATTAAGCTATTGAACTCTTGTGATTTCACAAGATTCTCTACTTATGTGATAGTAAGATAGGGCCAATTATTGGTCTAACTGGACTCAGAATAGAAGAACATTAAACACAGTTTGCACTAACATGGCATGGGCCATGCCCAGCTTCATTTTCCATTGTCTGCCGGTCCCATCAAATCGGTACAATGAAAGGTAACTTATTTCTCTTCTGCATAGAGCATAATGTGAAGTTTTACACCTACTTTGAAAGGTCTGTTTTTCAGAAACATAAACCTCCAGCAATGGTCTAATTTAATGTTTTGTGAGTCTCATAGTTAAAACCTCTTTTTTTTTTTTAAACAAATTTTCCACCAAATAGTGAATAGTTTCTTCTTAAAATTCTTGTTCTAAATGGAAAGTGACAGAGAAGGAAAAGAGAAAAGTAACAGATGAATTTCTATGTCAGGAATATTAACATGAAGGACAAACTCATTTGTGTATTTTGTATACACATCAGATCACTAACTTTTTGTTTTTTTTTTTAACTATGCTTAGAATTGATAAAGGATGTGAGTGTAACCCAGAATCTATCCTCAGCTGGGACACGTTTTCTTAAAGAACGCATACTGGCATGGTTTATATTAAGAAAAGAAAAGATCTTGCACAAATTGTAATGTGATACTGTGAAACAAATTTGAAACATTGCCTCTTTGCATCACATACCTCGTTTTTTCAGAAACTTTCCAAATTGCTTTACATAGACCTCTATAAGTAGGGAATGTTTTCTGAAGCAGAAGTTAAAGTGGACAGCATCTATAGAATTAAGTTTAAAATCCAGTCTTAGAACGCTAGATATGTGATTTTTTTTTTTATATTGGCCTTGACAGTGTATCTTGTGATCTCTGTATAAACTTTGTTAACCAAGATGGTTGCCTCTCCAGTTTTCCCTCATCTTTATCCTGTTGTTGGTATCTTCATGTTGTTTGAGGTTATTTGTGTGAGGTTTTGAATCATTCTTTATAGTTTTGCATTGTTGAGGGGAGAGAAAAAAACAACCGATTTTTACAAGAAATGTTTGTGTAATTTATTTTTGAAAGCTTTGTTGAATATCAGCTTTCCTGCCGCTTTTTGACAATCTTCTGCGTTTAGAAAATTGTATTACTTGAAGACATGACATAGAACATTGGGTTAGCAATGTACATGTGCTGTATGGTGTATAAGAACATGCTGTGGTGAATTCTACAGTCGATTTATTCTGTTGATCTGCATAATAGTTCGTCCTTTTGCTATAACAATTTATATCAAAGGTATAATCTTAAGTAGAGTGTATTAAGGCCAAGGCTTAGGATTTACTACAGGAGTAGAATATATAGAGAATTTTGTATGAGAATTTTGTTTACATTCTATAGCTGGGATATTTTGCCACTTTTTAAATGGTTTCAAAAGAAGTCCTCGAAGATTAATATTAGTGGTTTGTGTGGGTTTATGTTTAGATATTAAGGTACATTTTCATAGTATAAGTGTAAGCAAAAGGCACAATGGGAACCACAGAATAAAAATGTAAGCTAACATGTCAATCTCACCTTAACTTTGTTTTTGCATTTGAAGAATGTATGTAGCACTTTCCTGTACATTTTTACACTTGGAAAACTGGACTTGTTATAGCTATATTATAGGAAAGTAGAAATTATATTCTTTTATCTTCTATTCTTGTTTTTTTTTGTTTTCCCACAAAGTTGATGCTCAAGGTTCAAACTGATTTTGGTACAAAAAAGAAAAAGTGGTTGTAATCTGCAAGGAAAGAAATTCCCTATATAAAAAACCAGTTTAACATGGCATTCATTGTTCAGTGCTCAGGTATGTAGCAAGTACTGTAGGCCTATGGGGGCATATGTGTAGGTTTCTCAACATTTTACCATAATTGCACAATTTTTTGCATTTTTACCTGATGTCATTGTTTCTTATAATAAAATCTTTTCCGATAGAAAACTTCCAGTGTTGTAAACTGGCCTGAGTAATGAAGAATATGGGTGAAAAATCATGAAATAGTTCATATTTTAGTAAAACAGAATGAGCTTTTTAATATATTGAAATATCTGACCTCTCACAGAAAGTGAACTAATTAATATTGTCACATATTAAGGATCTTTAAATTTTAGAGAAAGCTTACTTACATTGATAGCTGCTTTGTTATGTTTCCTTTGGCCTAAAGTCATATTACTAGTGATTTAACAGAAAATCCTGTTGGCTTCTTACTTCAAAATATATCTACATCCAGACTATGTACCACTTGGAAACTGTTACTCAGGTCTATGTTAGCCTATCTTTGTTGTTAAAAAATTATTTACTCGGGTCTATGTTAGCCTATCTTTTTTTCTTTTTAAAAAATTATGTATCAGTCAGAGCTCCTGTATATTGTTGGTTCAGTGCCCACATGCCCACATCAGCCAGGCTGGCCTGGTGCTGAAGCTCTTAGTTGGCAACTCAATCCAGACCTTCCCCTTAGGTGGCAGAGATCCAGTTACACACACCTACATCGCCTTCTCCTAGGATCTGCATTAGCCAGATGATATCAGGATCTGCAGGCAGGAATCGAACTCAGGTACTCTCCTGTGGGACCACCCTTAAGCTAATCTATGTTGTGTGCCTTACTGTAATTGGCACTGCGTTATTCATACTATTCATCACCTTTGACCCCTTGTTACATACTGTCTCTGCACAGTAGTCATAGCGATCCTGTTAAAATGTGAGATGCCATCCCTCCAACTGACTTGCCACCTGCCTTCCTGTGAGAGCCAAACTGTTTACACAGCTGGTGCGCTCCTCCAGCTCCATCTCATAGACCTGCTGCCATCCTCTCCCCACCTCCTCTGACCAGCTACACGGATCTCACTCCTCAGCCAGGTGCACCTCCAGCATCAAGGGCTTTGCTCCTGTGTGTCTTGGTAAGAAGCGCCTCAGTGACTCACTTTATTCCAGTCTTTTTAAAAACCTTATTAAAAAGCCTTCACTTATCACTTGATGTAAAGTTATGCGATCCTATCTCCAGCTTCTCCCCTACCGTTACCACCTATCATTTTCTACTATATATATAAATATAGGAGTCTTCAAAGAGCTCATGGGAAATGCATGTTATTTAAAAAAAATACTCTGTATGGATTTCAAACATTTGGACACCAAAATAAACTTATCTTTTAACTCCATTTTCCATGAACTTTTTGAATTCCTTTTGTGTTCATTCCCACGTTTGAAATGTAAGCTTCATAAAGCCGAGGAGTTTGTTTTACTTTGCCATATTTCAGATGAATATGTGGCACACAATTAGACACTCAGATGCTTTAAGAAGAAACGAATTTTTATTAAAGCCAGGAAAGTGGTAAAACCGGTATCATCTCTGTTCTGCCAGATAGGAAACACAAAGACCCATTGAATCAGATGCTGAAAGTCCTCTGACCAATGAAGGGTTCACCTGGGATTAGAACCAAGTGTTGTACTTTCAGCTAGTTCCTCTGTGCTACCTGAGTTCCAAGCGGAATTGATGGAAGAGATTCATGCTGCTATTCAGTTTAGGCTTTTTTTTTTCTTAAGATTTATTTACTTTTACTGGAAAGGCAGATGCACAGAGAAGAGGAGAGACAGAGAGATCCCCCGTGCAGTGATTCACTCCCCAAGTGATTGCAACGGCTGGTGCTATGCCGATCCAGAGCCAGGAGCCAGGAACTTCCTCCAGGTCTCCTACGCAGGTGCAGGATCCCAAGGCTTTGGGCCATCCTTGACTGCTTTCCCAGGCCACAAGCAGGGAGCTGGATTGGGATGTGGAGCCGCAGGGACCAGAACCCGCGCCCACATGGGATCCCGGCACTTTCAAGGCGAGGCCCTTAGCTGCTAGGCCACGGCGCCGGGCCCGCTATTTAGTTTCATGGTTGGTTGTCCTAGGAGTCCTTACTCATTCTCCAGGAATGATCAGAATAGCCATTTGAGGAATTTTTCTCATTTATGGCTCTAGTTTCGTTGGCTAGAGCTAAGCAGGTCATGACTGACTTTCTGAGTTCACTTAAACGCCACATTTTAGGGTGATTGTATGCCCTGCAACTAATTTCTAAGACATTGATTTTCAGTTTGAACAACTTTTACTTGTAAGGTTGGGAGTGATGACATTTTATTAACATTTTAAGAGCTGAATCTGGAAGCCATATAATAAGCTTCTAAGATGTTTGTTGATTGATTATTTTTACAGTTCATATAATCAGCCATATTTAAGTTTCCTCATTATGGCATGTAATTATTTGACTTATAGTTTATTAAATGCTGATGCTTTGTGGTGTATAGGCTAGACCTCTGCCCGAGACACTGGCATTCTGTATGGTCACTGGTTCAAATCCTGACTGCTTTATTTCCAACCCAACTCCTTGCAAATGTTCCTGGGGAAGTGGGGGAGGGTGGCCCAAATGCTTGAGCCTCTGCATCTTTGTGGGAGATCAGGCAGAGGCTTCCGGCCCCTGGCTTCAACTTGGGCACTGCGGCCCCGGGGAGTTAACCAGCAGATGAAAGATCTCCCTTTCTTTATTTTGCCTCCTCTCTTGGTAACTCTGCTTTTCTGCTTTTCAAATAAATTTTAAAATTAAAAATTATTGATGCTGGAATACCTAATGATCCAGCCTTATAGGACAAAATTGAAAATGATACGCTAAAATTTTAAGATAAATGATTTTACAAATTTCTTTTGTCAAAGTATTAAAACTAAAGTTAAAATATAACAATTTTAAACTATCATTTATGATTGCCTGTTGCTTATTTCTTTAAAAAGGGGATTTAATAGGTCCCTTTTTTGTTCCACAAATATATGTAAAACAGTATGATTTGATGAACAAAACACTACACGAACTTAAACAAGAAATGTGTAATGTGCTTTCTAAGCATTTTATATTCCAAACATGAATTATGCTCTTGTGATTATGTGCAGTTTACTTAGCACATCTGAGCTTTAGTTTTTTTTATGCATAAAAGAAGTTAATAACTTCATCTTATAGAGCTCTTGTGAAGATCAAATAAGTACATAAAATGCTTATCAAAATGCCTGACACATAATGAACATTTAGTAAATTATCTGCTGTTACCAGTATAATAGCTATACTGCTGCCATTTAGGTATACTTAAAACAGAACTTTGTAGAACAGTATTTCATAAGAATTAATATAAAGTATAGGAAATATAGCCATTTGGACTCTGCCTATAAGGCATTCAGGAAGACAGTTTTCACCGTTTTACAGTCACACAGTTCTCTAGTTTCTGGACTGTTCATTTATTTGTAAAGGACTACAACTAAACAAGTGGTATTACAGAACAGTTTATACAGCGTTTATAACCCATACCTGTAAAGTGAAAATAAAGCTTTTCTGTTTGTGTTAAAGCACTGAACAGGGCCTGACCTTAGAGCTTATTTTGTCCTATATCGGTCAGAGAGAACAATGTTAGTTCAAATTGCCAAAACAAAGTATCACAGACTAAGTGGTTTCAACAGACATTTGTTTCTTGTAATCCTGGAGGGTG